AAGCCTATAAAAAGGTAACAGGAGCATTTCACGGGGCCCCCTACTGACCCAGTGCCCGAGTGCTCGAATGGTCAGTCTGCCCCTGGGTGTCATTCAGAATGAATGGCAGCCCCACGCATCTCACAAGAGCAGAGCGATTCGGCTGCGGGTGGTTATGGGTATGGGAACAGGTGCACAGCCAAGAAGCTAGTTTGAACCCAGGGTCATTGGGTTTAACGTCTGCCCAACTTCATCCAAAAGGTTTTTTTGTATTGGACAAAGCATGGAAGAGTTAGAACCTCTGGAAGGTTTGTATGGCCATCTGTGTCTCTACATGGGAAATTTATTGGGACGAGAGGAAGAACCTCTGGAAGGTTTGTATGGCCATCAGTGTCTCTACATGGGAAATTTATTGTGAAGAGAGGAAGTACTTCTGGAAGGTTTGTATAGCCATCAGTGTCTCTACATGGGAAATTTATTGTGAAGAGAGGAAGAACCTCTGGAAGGTTTGCATGGCCTTCAGTGTCTCTACATGGGAAATTTATTGTGAAGAGCGTTAGAACCTCTGGAAGGTTTGTATAGCCATCTGTGTCTCTACATGGGAAATTTATTGTGAAGAGAGGAAGTCATGGAAATCTCTCTAACATGGACATAGACAAAAACACATTTTTAATAAGGTGAGGATGGGTTAAACCTCTTGACAATGGCATTCCAGTACTGGTGACATCTGCACCTTCCATTTTTCAAAAGGGTATCACTAAGACAGGAAATAAGAGAAAATCACCCCATGGGCTTAGAGATTGAAATGAAGACCTAATAAAAATGTAACAATTTCCCACTCTACAAAAAAAAAAAAATGGCTTTAAACACTTGCCCATCCCCCTACCCCCAACACCAGTGCACGTAATAATGCTAAAAGCGTGGCAGTACTCCCACTGTACAGTATCTGCTCAAGGATAATGCCTTGATAGTCTCTTAGCAGCATTTTAATGATCAATTTAATCAACGTACACCTGATTACTGGAATTAGATTTCCTAATCAGTATAACCGTAATTGAAAGTTAATTATGTCCTTACTTTTTAAATGAATATCACTACCCCCCCATCTGAGAAGTCTTGGCTCAACTTCTGAAGAACTTTAAGTTCAAACTTACATATGGGTGTTGACTTAGCTAATGCTCACATGCCAACATTCATAATTAATGCTAGAACTGGGATGTCCACACGATCCAATGTTTGATCGTTACACGCAGTCACTTTTTCAAGTTTTGAAGATGGGCCAAGTCTTAGAATTTTTTCATAGGTACCTGCTGACTGGACAACTCAATATGAGACTAAAGTCTTCAATATATAAATAATTGAGGTCTCAGGGAACCCTTGCTCAAACCAATGCATTATAGGTCAATGGCAAAAATATCCATCATATCGGTTCCCAATAGAAAGAATGCAACCCTTAAGGTGTTGGGTCACAGTGCCACCCTTGCGGATGGCTAAAAAGATAATTGGTGTCATGCTAATGGCTTTGCCAAGTGCCATTGGTCCTAGAACTATGCAGTCACCATCAAATGGGAAGTCAGTCATCAACAGCTCAAGGAATCCCCCCTAGCAACCTCTGGAGGAACCCTAGTTGAGAATGTCTGCTCTAAATGAAAAGCATTATTAAGGACGCTAAACGCTTAATGTGCATGAGGCATAAAGCAGCCCACACATTTGTTCAACTGGATTCCCTCATCCACACATCCAAAGTGGATGAAGGAATCACTCCTGCTGAGGCATTGTATTCTAACAGCAGAGAGACTTCCCCGTCAGCAGAATACACTGATCAGTGCTGCTACCTAAATCCAGCAGCACTGATCAATTGGGAAAAAACCAGCAGGGTGGTTGTACAGAAGTGTTTCAGCAGATCGACTTCTGTACAAGCACTGACCTCATACATGGATCAAAATTCAGCTGGTCCCTGCTGGACTAGCCACATTTTGATCGCTGTATGGCCAGTTTAAGACTCATAGAAAATATTTGATCTTTTCCTTTCATGCTACTAATAAATAAACAAAGAAAAAAATAAAGATACTGATAACAATTCAATAACTATGGGCAAAAATTCCTAACATGAACATGATGAAAGCCATTAATAAAAATAAAAAAACTTGCGATTTTTTTTTATTAATTTTGGTCCAAAACTCAGCATTATCTGATCGATCTCAAAAGATTGGGGCAAGCCCAAACTTGATTAAAAAGGTAATCATTGCATTTGACATGAGATAGTCAAAGTTCTTTCACAGTATCATATCATGATTAATCTCCCCCATCAACTTCTATTGTTGGTCCGATCATGAGAGCCAGCAGTAATCCAATCATGAAATCAGTAGAGTGCTGGGAAGTGTAAACTTTTAAATTGTGTCACCTTCACACTTTATGGCCAAAGGTTTGTTAATGCCTAAACACTAGACTCCCTATATGGCAAAAGATTTGTATTCAACCCAACAAATTACAGATTTCAGGTATTTCCAGTGAAGGATATGGTTACTGATACAGCATTGGAAGACAATTGGGTGCTTCCAATTTGGTGAAGACACTTTTTTGTTTTATCATGACTGTGCCCCTCTGAACAAAGACAGCTCCATAAAAACATGGTCTAAGTAGTTTTCTATGGAGGAACGGCCTACACAGAGCCCTGACCTCAACCCTACTGTACACCTTTGGGATCAATTGGACCATGATTGTGAATGGCCTGCACACAGAGCTCTGAACTCAACTGTACTGAACACCTTTGGAATGAATTGGAACACTGTTTGCAAGCCAGGTCAACATCAGTACCTGACCTCACAAAGGCTGTTTTGACAAAATGGGCACAAATCCCCAGAGACACCCTCCAAAACCTTGTGGAAAGCCTTCTCAGGGGGGTGAAGGCTGTTATTGCCACAAATCAGAGGGGGTGACAACATAATAACGGCCATGGTTTTGAAATGGGATGTCCTGAACTGCTCACTTTAATCCGACTGACGGAGATAGGTGTTTCCGGAACTGTGGTCTACGTGGGGACAACTTGCACATTTGGTGGTCGTGCCCGCGATTGATAGGCTTCTGGCCTAGAGTCTTTGGTTTGCTGCCAACGTTATTTCATATTAAGGTCCGTGGGGATGCAAGGGTGGCCCTCCTGCATTGCCCAATTTTGGGTCTGTCTCAGCAGAAATTGGCATCCTACCTATTTATTTCGGCCAAAAGTGCTATGGAGAACCCCTCCGGTTGTCGGGTGAAGACCCGGATAAATGCTATGCTGATCAATGAACAGATGTCTAGCATTCTTCAAGATTCTCATTCCTTAAGGTTTGGGAACCTTGGATACGTTATTCCCTGCCATCCCTGCCTCCTACTAGTTATGGTCTCTTATAATCGTTGCCTGTGCTAGCCCTGGATCTGAGACTATTCTACTGTAGTCTTCTTTTCTTCCATGTTTTCTCTCTGAATCTTTCCTTTCTTCCTTATTTCTTTCTATGTTTTTTATATTTTCTTTTCCCTTTTTTCTATCAGTTTTTTTTTTCCGGTAATATGATGGATTGCTGCTGCTACTATTTGGTTCGGCTTTTTGCCGTCCCTCCTTGATGTCATTGGACATTCCGTTATTTGGCTAATACAAGTCAGCAGGATGTATCTATGTATGTTATTGTTCTGCTCTCTGCCCCTGCGTGGGCGTATCTTGAGCTTGTTGTATTATTAAATCAAAAACTTCCTTAATAAAAATATTAAAATAGAAATGGGATGTCCAACAAGCTCATATTAGATGTGATGGATCACGTGTTCACAAACTCTTGCCCATACTGCAGTTGGTGTTCTGTGAATATACGCAAGTAGTAGGCATTCTTTAAATGTTACAATATGCCCTCATCGGTTCACATCAGTATGTTAAAATGCTTATGTAGATGAAGATCATCAGATTACTCCATATGTTGAACCACAGCCATTAGCGTCTATACAGCATTTCAGGGTCAGGTTCTATGTCACATGACAGGAAGGGTCTGGCTCGAAAAATGCTTACACCGATAGCTGTAGTTCCGTAATTGAAGTAATCTGCTGAACTGCAAGCAAGCTCCTGGAAGAATGAAAATGTGTAATATTCTAGCTGTTTTGGAAATGAAAAGTTAAATCCAAATAAAATTCATGGCGCCCCAAGGCTGGACAAATCCTTGAAGGCAAGTGGGCAATATTAAAAAAAAAAAATTAAAACATTTTTTAGGATCTTCATTGATGTTGGGTGTGGATTTTAACTTGTCTACCCTTAATTACCACAAGTCAGTTCTATGACTTTGCAAAGCTACCCAATTCTGTTTTTGCATTATGTCCAATTAAATTCATGATATTCTTCCAGATTATAAGGCAGTATAGGGCGGAGTCCATGATGTTGGCCTACAACCCCACTTGAAGACCAAATGCTAAGTCCAGGTGGGGTCCGTGATGCCATGCTCTGGGTTGCAGGTGAAGGAGATGGTTATGGCGTATCGAGTCCCCCAAGTCAATTTCTCTACGCGGTGTAAGTTTTCTGATCCAGAAGTGAAGAAAGACAGGCGCCCTGGAAGAAACATTAGATGACATTAGTATAATGGGAAAAGTCACAGACAAGAAGAGGCAAAACCTATGTGTGCTACTAAACTGCAGGAGAAAAGAATTCAGTTTCCTGTCCATTCAGGAAGGGCTGTGCCATGTTGCAGAGCAGTGTAAATCTCAGGACGGGATGGACATAAATAAAACTCCTTTGGCAGGAAATGCAGCTCCCATATATATATATATTTCTGTGTATTTACAGTGGGTATAGAAAATAATTGCCCCCCTTTAAAGTAATCACATTTTCTTTGCAGCCTGAAATGAAGACAGACACTGTTTTTGTTTTACCCAGCTATATTTACTCAGTGCAACTTATAACATCCAAGTGAAAGACATAAAACCAACACGTCAAAAAAATATTAAAAAAAAGTTCAAAAACAGAATCACTGAGTTGGAAAAAGGATCACCTCACTCTAAGGCTAGGGTCACATATGTGCGGGTGGTGCCGCTGCGAATCGTGCAGCCGCAGCACCCGCACAGAGAAATGCGGACCCGCGGGCGGGTGCCATTAGTTCTAATGGCACGCCGCCCGCACTGGGAAACGAAACCGTACTGGGAACCGAGGTTCCCATGCGGGCTGCATTTTCGGAAGAAGTGAAGGGACTTCTTCCCTGCGTGTCACGGGCAAATGAATGGGCTCTCGTTCCCGCGCAAAACGCGGACTGAAGGAACGCACATATGTGAACCGGGGCTTAAACCCAATCAGGTGTGGCTAATCACCTTCTCAATGGCAGAAACAGCCATTTTACTTTCAACTGCGATCATCTGTGGTCATTTTGATTAGCTCGGCATGAAAAGAGCTTTCCTGGAACATTTCAAGCCCTAGTAATGCAACTGAAGCAAACAATCAACTATGGGTAGTAAGGCAATGTCAAAAGATCTCTGGGATAAAGTTGTGGACAGGCACAAGTAGGGAGATGGATCCAAAAATATTCCAAAAGGTTTCTCAATGCCTAGAAGCAGAGTGAAGTCTATTATTAAGAAGTGGAAGGTATTTGGTACAACACAGACCCTCCCTGGATCAGGACGTCGCTCCAAACTGGATGAAAGAGCCAGGAGGGAACTGGTCAGGGAGGCTACCAAGAGGCCTACAGCAACTCTGAAGCTGTGTCAGGAACTGATGACAAAGAGCGGTCATTGTGTTCATGTGACACCAATATCACAAATCCTCCACAAATGTGACTTGTATGGGAAGGTTGCAAGAAAAAAGTCGCTCCTCAAGAAAGGCCACATGCAGTCACCACTTAGAAAATAAAATACAGCAACAAATGCAGCTCTTGAGTGTATAGTAAGTGGAATTAACATATGTACAACAGAATTAGAAGGAAATACATTAAAAGTATGACATGCACCAGGTTTAACGTACATAAATTAATGTAAACAGTGGTCGGGTAAGTAATAAAGATTCATCCAACCAATCGAAGTGCATATAGTGATAGGGATGTTAGAGTCATTAGATCTGGGGGTACATCCAAGTGCCAATCAAATCCGTGACTTCTGTGATAGGAGAATAGCTGTAAAATGCACTAACCAGATAGCGCAAGTAAAAGCGCATTGGAGTATAATGACCTACTCCTGGTCACAGCCAAATGGTCATCAGCGTAGGGCCCTCAGGAACACCGGTGCAACACTCTTGCCGTCTCCTACCACCAGGGGGAGTGCGCCTCTTTACAGTAACACGAATTTGCCTTATATCCTCTATCGCCAGGGGTGGTGTGCTTTCATATCAGGAGATCACCTTAGGGACTCGGCAATAAGACCCAAAAGAGAGAAATCTTGATAGTGTAGTATTTTTATTCAAGATATTGGTAAAAACAGGTAGCACACTTACATGGTAATGTCCAAAGAAGTTGATTCACAGAATCCAAAAAGATGGCCGACAGTCAGATGCATGAACCAAGTAGATAACAAGTGGTATGAGAGGTATCCTTATCCCTAACGCGTTTCGTGGCAAGAGCACATTATCAAAGTCACCACTTAGCTTTGCCAAAACGCACCTTAAAGATTCTGAGGCCACATGGAAAAAGGTGTTCTGGTCAGAGACTAAAATTGAATGATTTTGTCCTAAACATAAAATGATATGTCTGACGGAAATCCCATCCAAATACCCCCCGTTCCTACAGTAAAGCATGGAGGTGGTAATATCCTGTTATGGGGGGGGATATCCTGTTATGGGGGGTTCTCTGCAGTAGAGACTGGAGCATGTGTCAGAATAAAAGGAAAAATAGATGAGGAAAAATACTGTCACATTCTGGAGGAAAATCTGCTGCCCTCTGCCAGCAAGCTGTCAATGGGAAGAAGGTTCACCTTCCAACATGACAACGAGCCAAACCACACAGCAAAAACATGAGCCCCCCCAGTGGTTGGAGGAGAAAGAGGAGAATGTCCTTGCAAGGCCTAGCCAGAGACCAGATTTAAGGGCTCATGTACACTGAGGCTGATAAACTCACATTTAGGAGCTTTTCTGCGTTTTTTCAGCAGCCCCTGAACTCTCCCTAATGGTTTCCTATGTGTCCATATACACATCGTCGTTTACAGGCAGTTGAGTTTACAGTTGTTTTTTTTGAACGCACCAAACTTGCGTTCAGGAGTAGATTTAATCAGCGTTTCAAACGCCAAATGCTTGTAAACGCGGCTAACCGCGTTTATAAGTGTTCGCGTTTAGAAGCGTTTTTTAACTGTTCCATGTCCAGATGCTGTCCAGAGCCTTTTTCATCATCAGAAATGCATGCAAAGCGGTTTCCAAATGGACCCGGTACACCAGCGCAGTCAGTTCCTGGTTTTGCGTGAAGGAAAAAAAATGGTAGAACGCGCCGCATTATACTCATGATGGGATCCATAGTGAATACAACCAGAAAAAGACAGGTCATCTCCACACATACTGCTCTCTCTGCTTCTACTCTCTCTATTCCTCTCAAAATGTCTGAAATAGTTAATTTTTTACTATTTTTCAGTGCATTCTGGGCATTTGGGAGGTCTCCTGAGGTTATCTTTAAAAAAAAACGCTTCTAAACCCAAACGCTCATAAACGCGTTATGCAAACACGGCTGAACAGATGTTTTTTAACCTACATTTTCCAGCAGTTTCCATCATTCAGAAGTGTTTGCCAAACGTCCCGTGTACATGGAGCCTAAAACTGTAGTCCACAAACGGTCACCATCAAATTTAACCCCTTTACGCCGGCCGCACACAAATGTGCGGCCTCTCGGCGTCTGGGCCTAAACGCCGAGCGGCCGCACATTTGCATTCATGTAAGAAAAAACATATGTGCTGAGAGCGCACGCCCTGGGAGCTCCCAGCACACATGTCCGGTACTCACCTAAAGGTCCCGGTCTACTCTTTCGATCGGGACCTTTCCCGATCATGTGGCCGCCGTGACGATGCGTCACGGTGGTCACATGATCCCTAAAACACGCCCCACCCGCCCCGCCTCCCGGCGTTTGAAACTCTTAAAGGGCCGGGAGGCGCCAGCGGGAAGGGGTTACCTGAACTCCAGCAGTTCTACAAAGAAGAGTGAGCGAATATTGCAAAGTCTAGATGTGCAAAGTTAGTAGAGACAAATCCCAACAGACTAGAGGCTGGAATTAAAGCAAAAGGTGGTTCAACAAAATACTGACACAAAGGGGGGATCCTTTTTCCAACTCAGTGATTCTGTTTTTGATTTTATTCACTTTTTTTTTGGCGTGTTGGTGTCATATCTTTCACTTGGATGTTATGAGTAAATACAGCTGGATAAAACAAAAACTGTGTCTGTCTTCATTTCAGGCTGCAAAGCAACAGAAGGGGATTATTTTTAAAAGGGGGTGCCGCTACGGATCCACACGAAAATCCGTGCAGCCGCACCACCCGCACAGAGGAATGCGGACCCGCGGGCAAGTGCCATTAGTTCTAATGGCACGCCGCCCACACTGGAAAACACAACTGTACTGGGAACTGTGCAAGCTGCGTTTTCCAAAGAAGTGCAGGGACTTCTTCCCTGCGTGTCACGGGCACGGGAGTCCATTCAAATGAATGGGCTCTCGTGCCCGTGTGAAACGCGGCCCGCACGGCCGCATATATGTTTTTGCCTGGAGTTCCATTAGCTACCAGGCGTTCAGTTGTTAGCAGGATTCAGTGGTTTGCTCTTGTGCTGGCATTGCTTTCCATCCACTTCCATGTAACGTGTCCATGGCACCCTCCCCCCACAAGTGAGAGCCTTGAGAGCCTGCCATCGCTACACGACGCAAGATGAAAATTATTAATCAAATTTATGGGTACTTCGGTAAATTCTTGCCACGTAGCTCTGGCATCATCTGGAATTAACCCCTGTGAAACTGGAGGCAACCAGCTGAGCCTCCCCCGAGGCTCCGGATATTTTATCTTCCGCTAATAAACCACAGGGGATCAATCGCAGGGCGCCATGCGACGGAGAATAGAAAAGAAAATAATTACGAGATGGAGCCTGTTCAGAAACAATTTGGTAATTACTAATTATACAAACAATGCGACGGTTCTCTGAACATTGCGGTTCCGCGGGCTTTACGGGATATGCGATGGGATGAAAACAATTACGCATTTAGAGTCACTGTAATAATAATAATAATTTACAGTCACACTGAAATTCCGCATTCCTATCTGTTCTCCTTCAAACGTCTCCTATCCCCTGCTGAGCAATCACAGCCAGACCTAACGGGAATCTCCGGTCTGATCATCTTTTAATGTGATCGACTAAAGTGAAACAGGTACCAGGGAACATGCAGGCTTCAATTGCCAAACACTCCTTTTAAAGAGGACTTGTGCTGTGGAACATGCGCACAACAAAAAGTGGAGAGCAAAGGAGTAGTCACCAGTATTGCCTGTAGCAGTGATGGTGAACCTATTAAAGACCGAGTGCCCAAACTGCAAACCAAAACCCACTTATTCATCACAAAGTGCCAACACTGCAATTAAACCTGAATTTGCTGACCACCAACGCAAGGGGTCAAGGTTCCACTGACCACCAGCGCAAGGGGGCAAAGTTCCACTGACCACCAGCGCAAGGGGGCAAAGTTCCACTGACCACCTGCACAAGGGGTCAAAGTTCCACTGATCACCCGCATAAGGGGGCAAAGTTCCACTGACCACCAGAGCAAGGGGGCAAAGTTCCACTGACCACCAGCGCAAGGGGTCAAAGTTCCACTGACCACCAGCGCAAGGGGGCAAAGTTCCACTGACCACCAGCACAGAGGGGGCAAAGGTCCACTGACCACCAGCGCAAGAGGGCAATGTTCCACTGACCACCAGCGCAAGGGGGCAAGGTTCCACTGACCACCTGCACAAGGGGTCAAAGTTCTACTGACCACTAGCGCAATGGGGCAACATTCCACTGACCACCAGCGCAAGGGGGCAACATTCCACTGACCACCTGCACAAGGGGTCAAAGTTCCACTGACCACAGCGCAAGGGGGCAACGTTCTACTGACCACCAGCGCAAGGGGGCAAAGTTCCACTGACCACCTACACAGGGGGTCAAAGTTCCACTGACCACAGCGCAAGGGGGCAAAGTTCCACTGACCACAGCGCAAGGGAGCAAAGTTCCACTGACCACCAGCACAAGGGGGCAAAGTTCCACTGACCACCTGCAGAAGGGGTCAAAGTTCCACTGACTACAAGCACAAGGGGGCAAAGTTCCACTGACCACCTGCACAAGCTAAAATCTTGTGCTAATAAAACCGAATGTGTTAAAACTCACAGCCAGTCCAATATATACAGTATATTCTTGGCAGTGCACTGACCAGCCATGGGAAAGCTCGGATGAGTCGTGGCTAATGACGTCACCGCTACTCCTTTCCGAACATGCGCATGGCCCGTTATGTTATCCAGTGCTCAGCTGCTGGGGTGATGCTGGGGCAACCTGCCGACTTAGAGGGCTATGCGCGCCTACTGTGGCACGTGTGCCATAGGTTCGCCACACTGGCCTTTAGGCTCCCTGTAGCTGATCTTTTCTACATTAGTTTTTTATGATTCCTTGCGTCTCTGTATGAAGGTGGCCATCTTGGTAGAGGCTTCCTCCTCTCAGACCAATTGCCCTGATGATTGGTGATCTGGTGACTGATGGGAATAGTCAAGAAGCAGCGATAGGGGTGGAGGAAGCACAGGTCCACAAATAGATAAAGCATAGGAAAGGAGATCCTTGCACTGCAGCTTGTCAGTTACAGCTTCCACTCTAGCATGGAAAACAATGAGTAGCACAGGATACTCGCTCCAAATCTGGTGAGACAGCAGTGCCTTAGATCTCACACTGCAGATATACAGCTATGACTCTACAGGACCGAAGTGCTTAGGTACAGGAAGCGTACTGCTATTTTTCAGGAAGAATTAAACACAAAAGCTTTCCTTCTTTAGGTCACTGCTTGTGCTCAATTAACATTTCTATTCCCTATACAGGTAGAAAATCTCACATTTTTTGAGTTGCAGTCCACTTTGAAATTGACAGGGATTTCTGACCACAGTGTGCTGTTTGTTAATTCAGAAAAAGGATTCAGTACCACCACTTATGTGCCAATAATACAAATCAACCAAACTGGGACAAAGATCTCAGTGGGCCTCATTGCTCCCACAACAAACCATGGTCAGATGTCTCACTGTTTTCTATAAGACATACTTCCATCTTTGGCGAACCAAACATTAGACGACAAGGCCAATGGGCATTAACAGTTGCTTTTAATCCTAGGAAGTTTCTTATTACTGATTACCATGTTTTTCATCTTGTTGGAAAGAACTGGCACAAACATGGCCCCATCCACCCCTTTCACTGTAGAAGAGTACTTAAAGTGTATGTCAAGGCAAAATCTTTAAAAAAATCAGTATATGTCTAAAATACATGCAATTTTCTCTGCTTTTTTTTTTAATGTACAGTAAAAATACTTGTTAATCTGTCAGAAATCCAGCAAGCCCCTAATTTTCTGTTTAAAATAACATCAAAGTGTTATCAGCCTTGTCCAGTCAAAACAGATCTTCAACAAACACTTTCCTCCTATCCATCCCTCCTCCCCACTGTTACCAGATTAGGGTTTTTTCTTTTTTGTTCTTATTTGCACCCCCCCCCCCCCCCCCTCACAGTAATTGCCTATGCGAATGACCTCCATTGACCTCCTGGGATATACACATCACATATCCTAGGAGGCAAAGTGCTTCACTCACAAAGGAAGAGGAGGGAGTGCCTGGCGCCACATCATCAGGAGACATGCTGGCTGAACCAGAGCTGGTGGGCCGCTGGGCCACTTTCCTCCTATCCACCCCTCCTCCCCTCTGTTACCAGATTAGGGCTGTCTTTTTTAAGTGTGGCCCCAACCCCCCCGCATATCATTCGCCTATGTGAATGATGTCCATTGACCTCCTGGGATATGCACATCACATATCCCAGGAGGCAAAGTACTTCACTCACAAACGAGAGGAGGGAGTGCCTGGCGCCACATCATCAGGAGACATGCTGGCTGAACCAGAGCTGGTGGGCCGCTTGGGCCACTTTTCTCCTATCCACCCCTCCTCCCCTCTGTTACCAGATTAGGTCTGTCTTTTTGTTCTTATTTGCTTTTTTTTTTTTTTTTTTAAGTACGGCCCCGCCACCCCCTGTACATCATTTTCGCCTACGTGAATGACATGCATTGACCTCCTGGGATATGCACATCACATATCCCAGGAGGCAAAGTGTTTCACTCACAAAGGAAGAGGAGGGAGTGCTTGGTGCTGCATCATCAGAGACATGCTGGCTGAACCAGAGCCGGTGATTCGCTTGGGCCACTTTCCTCCTATCTACCCCTCCTCCCCTCTGTTATCAAATTAGGGCTGTCTTTTTTCTTATTGGCTTTTTTTTTTTTAAGTGTGGTCCCGCCGCCCCCTGCACATCATTCGCCTATGCGAATGACGTGCATTGACCTCCTGGGATATGCACATCACATATCCCAGGAGGCAAAGTGCTTCATTCACAAAGGAAGAGGAGGGAGTGCCTGGTGCCACATCATCAGGAGGCATGCTGGCTGAACCAGAGCTGTTGGGCCTCTTGAGGATATCATAAGCAATATAGCAGTGCAGGAACAAGAGGTGGCAGAGCAGCAGAGGATATCAGTGGGACAACGCTGGATCCTCTGGGTTGGGTGAGTATCAGAAATGGGCAGACCACCCAGTAAGCGAGGGAAAGAGTGAAAAAAAAAAAAAAAAAGGAGGGGGTGAGTGAAGTTCCTCTTTAATTTCATAAGGACTATAGAATACCTCTCCTCCACTCATATCAATGACATGGGGAGGTTTCTTTGGTAGTCTAACAGGGAAGAACTAGGCAGGGCTGATAGCACCACATGGAATTTCAGTGCAGTGAAGACGTGAGGTCAATGCTTTTCTAACAGCTTACTGCAAGAAGTTAGGTGCTCACTGGATTTCAGTGCATTTACTGAAAAGTTATATTGAATATGATTTTAATTTTGCCCCAATGTGCGCTGTAGTGGGTGTCCAAGGCTACTCTACATCAGCTGAGCAGCTGGTTGAGTTGGGTCTTAATGAGCTCATGAACAAGCCATGGTGAACCTTACACCCATCTTAAACACCGCTTAGGATTGCCCTGTGTCTCAACAAACATAAAAGTCTTGTAGGGCAGTAAAGTCTTAGTATGCATGATCACAAGTCTGTATTGGAATATAGAGTCCTGATAAGGGGAAGTCACAGTATATTAGCCGCAATGTTCTTATTGCAGGAGCAAAGGAAATGGGTGAATATTGTTAGCAATCTATTTTCTCTGAAGACTGGCAGAGCGTGAACAGCAAGTACATTAGGGAAATAGAAGAGTACCAGCATGAAGAAATGATGTTCTTTCAGTCAATGCACACTTTGACTTAATATTGCAATGTTTACCTGATATGGGTGAATTATGTTGGGCAGGCAAAGCTGTTTCCCTGGGAAAGACTATCAGACAGAAAGAAAGGTGGGAAAAGTCACACAACACTTTTTTCTTCCTTGGGTTTGCTCTCTGTAGCGGTCAGAATATTTTTCTATACAAGACTGTCATGACATCTTACATCTGGGTACACTTGCTACTTATACCACTT